AATATGAATACCGGCGAGGTACCGAGAGCAGTTTTCCCTGCAGTAGGGCGCAAGTTTTCAATAACCGCGGCCGGGGTCCGAAAAGTATGGCTGAGATACGTACTAACAAGTTCGACAAAACCATCAGTCTTGAATAGGGGGAGACCCACCAAATTACCGCATGGAGATTTAAAATTTCTTGAACCTCTTAAAGCGGATAGGCCGTCAAGCACTTATTGTGAGATGCAGGAGAGACTTCAAGAAGTATCGGCAACAAATGTGTGTGTGTTTACGCTTTTCAACGCCGTTCGCCACAGATTTACAGGTAGAGACTGGACATGGAAGAGATTAAATACTCCAGCCGCAGAAAGATTCACCGAACGTGTTGATTGTACTGAAAGTGTTGATTGTACCAAGGTACTGTCACAATGTAGCAATATGTACGAGTGCTGTAATATGTTGCAATAAATAAGGCAGTTATGGTGTTATGTAGCAATAGCATATACTTCATTCTGTATACTGCCTCGAACTTAATCGAAACACTCTTTTTAAAACCCCTGTAATTCACTAATTTTCATGAATATTTTTGTCATTTTTGGTAAAAAGTGATATTTTCGACTTCTTGTTAAAAACCGCAGGTCCAATTGCTTTGATACTACATATCTCGGTACTACATGTTGTCCTCTCTCAGATTTGTTCATTTCGTGATGATATCCTTAATTCTCTAATTTTGATGAATATTTTTGTCATTTTTGGTAAAGTGATATTAAAAAGTGGTTAAAAACCACAAGTCTAATTGCTTTGATATTATATATACTACATAGGTACTACAGGTAGACCTCTTTCACATTTGTTCATTTCGTGATGATTTTGTTCTTCAATTATCTAATTTTAATGAATATTTTTGATAAAAAGTTATAAAAAGTCTGATTGCTTTAATACTATACATATTGTTCATTTTCTAATGATATCTTCAGTTCTTTAATTGAAATGTGCATTGCTAACAGCGGAGCTATCTCAGCCAATAGGCTGCTAGTTTAAGTTTTCTCATTCTTTCATCTCACTCGCTTCTTCGCAACATTCTTCTTTATTGATCTGTTATTGCAGGGTGTTGAATTTACAGTGCCATCTGGTTCAGGTAGTGTTAGTCAGCCTACAAGCACTAGTGTTGGCATCTCAATACAGAAAATACAGAATCAGTTAGAACATTTACTACTAAGAGAAAAGCTGTTAATGATAAAATATTTGATTGGATAGAGGTAAGTCTGATGTAGAAGTTTTGATAGTTTTTCTTC